CATTGATTTTCCAGGCAGGGATGAGTAATTTAACATCAGGTATCATTTTGAATGTATTTTCCTTTGTTTGAGATCATTTTCAGCAGGTTTGAGACTACCCAGCTACTGTGTTTAAATCTTAAACCCTCCTCTGGCAAGTGGGCAGGAAGGCATCGTGCAGGACAACCAAAATTCAACAATCCTTTGATAATCTGATTTGATAACTGGTCACATTTGATAATTGATTTCTGAGATCCCAGTTGGAGCACTGCCTCCAGCTCTGGGATCACCAGCACAGGAAGGACATGGAGCTGCTGGAGCGAGTCCAGAGGAGGCACCAAGTTGATCAGAGGGCTGGAGCAGCTCTGCTGGGAGGAAAGGCTGGGAGAACTGGGATTGTCCAGCCTGGAGAGGAGAAGCTTTGGGGTGACCTGATTGTGGCCTTGCAGGACCTGAAGGAGCTACAAAAAAGATGGAGAGAGACCATTTACAAGGGGTAGAGTGACAGGACAAGGGGGAATGGCTTCAAACTGCCAGAGAGAAGGTTTAGATGGGATATTTGGAGGAAGTTCTTCCCTGTGAGGGTGGGAGGCCCTGGCACAGGTTGCCCAGAGAAGCTGTGGCTGCCCCTGGATCCCTGGAAGCGTCCAAGGCCAGGTTGGAGCAACCTGGGCTAGTGGAAGGTGTCCCTGCCCATGGCAGGGGGTGGAATGAGATGACCTTTATGGTCCTTCCCAACCCAAACCATTCTGGGATTCTATGATGATACTGACTGTCAGTCTACAAACAAATCAGCAGCATAAACCCACCCATAAATAAAGTAAAAAAATAACCTTATTTGGTCCACAAATATAAGAAACCAAATTGCTTCCCTTGATTACTTATGTTCAAGTGACACTGGCCACTTCACAACTGAATTTGCTGTTAAAAAAATCTCATTTTGAATTCAGCTCTAAAGCAAAACCAATTGCATTTTTAGGAGCAAACAGGACATTCAAACTTGAATGTAGTGGAAATAAACAGCAGAAGCTGTTCAGGTTTAAGGTCAACATATATTAACAATCAGAAAGCCACAGCAAATTCCTTAGAAATGAAACCTCTAATAACTGTCCGATGGTAAACCAATTATGAAATTAGGACAACTCAATAAAAAAAAAAACCCTTTGCAGCTACAAAGCTTCTTGAAGTTTTTAAATTTTTACATTTTGCTGTTGGATTTTTTTTTTTTATTGTGAAGAAAAGAGATTTCATAGAATTGCAAAATAAATGCGAAAAAAGACAGCAGGACCTAATTTTTTTTAGGGGGGTCAGAAATATAAAAGAAAGAGTTTTTTCCCCCTAAACCAGGAATTATCACTAAGTGGAAATCAGCACATTTTACAGTTTATGATGCACCAGTATTTAAGCTTCTGAATCAAAATGCTGCTGATGGGAGTTGTGCCTTCCTTCCCCTCATTTTAAATCCCTTTGTCTCTGAAGCAGGAATTACTTTCTTTTCTCTCTTCCAGGTGGAAAGGAGGCCAGGAGCAAAAAATTAATCTATTCAAGAGTAGCAGAATTTGTCAAAGCTTGATCTATGGCTCACTCTGCCTCGAAAAAAACATCATTTCATAGAAAGTTGATGTGTTTTTTTCATTACTGAGGCAGCTCTCTGTTTAATAACAGCATTCCAATGTGTTATTGATCTGTGTATTGGAACAATTCTTACCATTCAGGTTGTCACATGGATATAATACACATTTACCAACATTTTCTACAAGGTCAAGGCCATGCACACGGAATGGATAAAGAAATTAACTATAAAGCACATTCTATATGGTCTTACACTATTTAAAATATTTAAAATACAAAGTATATTTATCAAGCAAATATATTCATTTAAATAATACTTCATTTGGGTTGTGTCTATTACATTCTATTTTATTTTTTATTCTAGGAACCTGAACTTAAATTCAGACGTAGAATATTAAGACCAAAATATATCTGAAAAGTCTTATTGACTTCAGTCTGACCCTTCTGGACACACCAAGGCAACTAAGAAGAGAATTTTCCCTGAAGATAATTCCATACTCAGTTTTTAAGTGAACAAATTGACACTAGATACGATGAGAGCTCTGGGAACCAAAACTCTTCCATGAGGGACAGATGCTCCTGTTATCTCTGAAGGGAGAAAAGAATCCCAGAATGGTTTAGGTTGGAAAGGACCTTAAGGATCATCCAGTTCCACCAGGGACACCTTCCACTATCCCAGGTTGCTCCAACCTGGCCTTGGACGCTTCCAGGGATCCAGGGGCAGCCACAGCTTCTCTGGGTAACCTGTGCCAGGACCTCACCACCCTCAAAGCCAAGAATTCCTTCCCAATATCCCATCTAAACCTCCTCTCCTTCAGCTTGAAGCCATTTCCCCTTATCCCATCACTCCATGCCCTTTGGAGCATCTTCTGCTTCCTCTCCTGTTTCACGTCTTGGGATCTCACTCCCTCTTCCTTCCATTTGCTGATCCGTACAACCAGCAGGTAAATCCGGTCTGGAATCTTCTACCCACCCCATCCTTTCCTGCCTGCATGAATATGGAGTCATTTTTACAGCAGAAAATCCTCCCAGTTTCCCAGCTCAGCCTGGCAGACGCTTCCTGTCCTTGTAAACAATTTTGGAGCCGTAAATGCCTCCGCTGCCAATCGATGCCTCTCAGGTACAAAAAGATATATTGTCACAGGATAATATCTCTCCTTTTTTTTTTTTTTTCTCTGCTTTTTTCAATACTGTCAAAACAAATGCTTTGCTTGAAAATAATTCCTGCAATATCTCGGAGCCCCCGCTCGTTCCAACAAATACGAGCAAGTCAAAATTAAAGGGATTTGTCATCGCGGAGTCGAATCCGGGAACTAAACGTGAGCCACGTCCCATCCCGGTGCTTTGTGTGAGTGGAATCAGCTCCTAACAGGAGAAAAATTGCCCATTTGGGATGCTCCAGGTGACACATTAGGCAGAGACATTCAGACAATGCAAGAACAGGATCCCTGCTACGTGGGAAAACAGGTTTTGCTGCTTGTAGAAGTTAAGAGGAATCAATATCCAAAAGCTTTGTGGCATGATTGTGTTTCCTGGAATGATTCCAGGTCCCTCCCCACCCCACCAATTTCCCAGGCAGTTATGAGCCTGTTGTCTCTCTGACATGGCTCTTCCATGGGGATTTATAGGATCTGCTTATTCCACTGCCTTTTTCCCTTTATTTATGTTTAATGAAGAACTATCAGGTGCCCCTGTGCTGTAACTCCTTCAAAGAGAGACGAGATTATTCCAAAATCAAAGAGCAATCCAAGAGTTTAGTCTGGTGCATTAAATGAGGGTTTCCCATATGGAAGGTCTTTCATGATTAATAAATTCATTGGAAAAATGAAAAAAAAATTAAAAAGAAGCCAAGGAAAAAGGATGAATTAGTCTCAGAGTTCAGAAGGTGTGATTACAAGGAATCAAAGCAAAAACCATAAGTAAGGAGAAAAATAGAGAACCACCCAAGAAATTATGTTGCTGAGAGAAGTCTCAGATATTAAATTATTTTAAAGTAGTCCTGCAGTGCCAAAGCAACTAAAGAAAATGTTCAACCAAATTTGTCTAGGCAGGGTCATTTTTAAAAATGGTATTAAAATACAAATCATAGCACAAAAGAACGTCTGTAATTTCAGCAGATGATTACTAACTGCACTAATTAAGGAGCTCTAATTGACTCCATCGAAGTCAAGAGACAATTCATGTGTATATTGCTGCAAGACTCAGTAATCATCAGCTCTGCAAAGTAACTTTTAAATGAGTTATCCTGCAGCTTTTATCACCCCAAGAGCTGCTCTCAGTCCATGATTTGCAGATCCCAAGGGGCCATGGATCACTTTGGAGGCACTGAAGGTAACCAAGAAAAGCCTGTTTACTGTCAGTACACCTTCCCTGGAATCTTTCAAGGCTCCCAAAATTGAGAAAGATAAGAGAAAGGGGACAGAGGGAATACATTTTTCCTGCTTTATTACTTTATTAAAGCTTCCTAAACTTCTGAGCACTTTCAAAATATCAAACGGTATCTTCTTGCTTTCCCCTGAAGAATTCCTATTTTCCTGCCCTTCTTAATTACAGAGATAGAACATTAAAAATTCATTTAAATGCACAAACCCCAAACATTTTAACACTTGCAACCACTGCTTCTAAAAAAGAGGTTTTATGCCTTAAAACTTCACCTAAACTTGTTATTGAAAGTGGGAAAATGAGAATCACAGAATAGATTGGCTTGGAAGGGACCTTAAAAGGGGTCTCATTTTATGCTGTCTCATGACCTGGTGGAAGGGATTGGACCTGGATGATCTTTAAGGTCCCTCCCAACTCAAATCATTCTAGGATTCCATGATTTATCCCTATAATGCTTTTCTTTAAATTGAAGCCCAACAAGAACAATCAGTCCCTCAACTTCCCACGAAATCCCTTTTTTTTTTTGCTTTATGGTCATTCCCTTCCTCCCAACCCAAACACACTGAGCTTTCCTGGCCTCCAACACCACAAACCTTTCACCCTTTGATTTGCACTCCCCAGCTCTCTTATTTATCTTCCTTTTTTATGAACTTAACTGTCAAAAGCTTAATGTTGCTTTTTTAATGTGACCTTCCCAGTTCAAAATTGAAAGGACTGTATTTTTTTCTTTTATAGCCAGGGTTTACAGGGGACCAAAAACTCAAAAACTGAGAACTTACCTACTCCACCACGTCCCTGGACAGCCTGTTTCAACGCCTGCCCACCCTTTTAGGGAAGAAATTTTCCCTAATATCCAATCTAAACATTCCCCTGGTGCAACTTAGGAATACTCATCCCTGTATCACGTGCAGCCTTTCCCACTCCAAGAATTTGGTGCTGAGCACTTAGACAGCCCCAGGTAGAGGTTTTTCCCCACAACCTGTTAGAGGAGAGATAAATAACCACCTAAAGAGTTAAAAAAAATACATTTAGAAATTTTAACTCCCAGAACCCCCCCTGGGTCTCACCTGGTTCTGTGGATTCCTGCAGTTCCTTGGGGAGCGCAGTGGAAGAGGAACCATCAACTCCAGACAAGTCCCCCCAGGGCTTCCCCAGGTGTGTGGGGAGGAGGATTCAGGTGATGGCATTTAAATAAATCTCCTGCCAGATCAATTCTCCTTTAATCCAGGTTCAGCTGGGACAAGGAAAGATAAAGTTGTGCTTAAGTCCCTAAAATGCAGTCTCATGTCAAATAAACCCAAAACAGTGATGTACATAAAAAAAAAAAACTTGTAAAGGAGTGATTTTACACAGTGTGGGAGCACTTTATACTTATGAATCTGATTATAAATAAGGACCCTACATTTCTTTATGTTGTAGTTTGTACCAGTCCCTGTCCTGGCTACAAAGCAGAGGTTTACATCACATTGGTGCCTCATTCTGCAATGTGTCCTCTCCCATTCCTCTGAATGAGCAAATAGACTTCAAATATACATCAAATATACTTCAAAGATTAGGCACATCATTTCAGGAACCCCACCTTGTGGCAGGCACCGTGAATTAACCTCCTGGACATTATCAACACTTCAGAGCTATTTCTGGAGGAGGAAAAAATAAAAGGTTGAAAAAGTTGCCAAAGTTTTAGAGCTCTAATGAGAACTGTCATTGAAAATTTATTTTGTTTGGGGTTTTTTTTTTGTTTGTGAATTCCAAACATTTTTTCACTTGGTTGTTTATTTAAGGAAATAATTATATTTGAGTGTAAGGTGCCTTTGCATGGGGGGTGGGCACTAGGTTGAGGATGGTTTTGGCACTTTGAAAGCTGTGACAACCCAAAAGGTCTTGGGCTGCTGCAGCATTTGGAAGGTACCAGCAGAGGCTTTGAAAGGCTCCAGGACCTGCTGGGGCTCTGGCAGAGCTCAGGAATGTGGGATAACATACCTGGGAAGGCAAAGGTGCTGCAGGAGCAGCAAAGAAGCAACATCTGTGGTGGCTCCCTTTGCCTGGAAAATTAAGCTGTTCCGTGCCCCATAATGCACTTTCCAGCTCTTTCTGCAAGATATTATTGGAGAAACATTAAAACTGAAAAAAAAAGGATTGATTTAAAATCAGAAATAACTGTTGGGTGAGAACCTTAGCCCAGGGCAAGCACTGCAAATCTGCCCTTTGTAAACACATAGAAAGGAGACGAAAAATCATTAAGGACATGATAAATCAGTTCAGCCTCTGATAATGTGTTGCACAGGAGGACCAAGGAAGGACAATGATGTTCACTGCTGGGTGGTGGGTAGGAAAAACCCCTCTTTTGAGGTCAGGAGGCATTTTGTGGTTGAAGAAATGTATTTACAGACTGGGGCCGTTGTTGTGCAAGAAGTGGACGTTTTGTGCTGGTCAGATCAGCTTATCTGGACCTGAGCCTGAGTGGCACCTTCTGCTGTCCCCTTTGGTCTCCATGGTAGGGAAACTGTCTCACCTGCATTTGGCAAGAGCTGGAACCATTGGCACCATTTGATTTCCACGTTGTGGGAAGGGAAGTTTCTTCCCTTCCTCCCCAGAGCCTCGGGCTGGGGGTTCAGCAGCACATCCAACGCTGGCAGATGGCCCACACACCACTGCCCCCAAACACTTGTTCATAGCCAGTGCTGCCTTAATCCCCTAATGGTTTTTATTTTTCTAATATTTGTAAGCCTTATAAGTTTTATAAGTAGTAGAGATAGATTTTAAAAGCAGCAGCCCTTGTCCCTCTACCCTGTAGCACCCTTTAGTTTGCACATTCCTTAACCCTCTTACCCCCATTCCATGTTCCCTCTATCAGTCCTACTCCCGAATCCAGTAGAAATGTTCAGTCTTTTGTCAAGGCAAGGCCTGTGCTGTTTAGAGAACACCCTGAACAACAGAACAGAGTCAAGAACTAGGTGACTGTGTACCCTCTGAGCCCCGAAGAAGATGAAGATTGATGAAGAGAGGGTCCCAAAATGCACCCCAGACTCAATTCTAAGGGGTGGGCCAGGGGGTGGACCAGAGCAAAGGCTACGGGGTGGAAACACTTGGGATTGGACAGATATTATTATAAAATGTAACATCTCAAGCACAGCGACGGCGCGTCCTGTAACATCTCTTGCCTTGGCACAATTAAAGCCTTTCCTTATCTCACCCTCAATTAACTGCTCCTGAGTTATTTTTCTTAGCACCAGCTGAGCAGGCATCACTAGGAAGAAAGATTTGCAGAGCTCCAAATAAATGGTATTTTAACTTCCCTGATCAAACCCAAGACAGCTGGAGCTGAGAATCGCGTGTGGCTCCTTCGCCGGGCGACTTCAGGAGGGTCCCCCCGGTGCAGGACCACGGACAGCATCAATAAATCGGGCTGCTCAGCACGGCCCCGGGGCAGCTCCAGTCGATAGGAAAGATTTCCTCTAATAGCTCTGGAAAAGGGCTGGAGCACAGAGCCAGCTGCCAGCTCAGGGGAGTCACAGCAACGCGACGCTCTGAGCACCTGGAAAGTGAGAAAAAGAGAGATCTAAGAGTTTAGTCTGGTGCATTAAATGAGGGTTTCCCATGTGGAAGGTCTTTCGTGATTAATAAATTTGTTGGAAAAATGAAAAAAAAAAAAAGAAAAAGAAAAGCCAAGGAAAAAGGGTGAATTAGTCTCGGAGTTCAGAAGGTTTGAGCAGGAGTGATGACAAGGAATCAAAGCAAAAACCATAAGTAAGGAGAAAAATAGAGAACCATGCAGAATGCATGGATTTCCTCAACTGAGGAAAAGGAGCATGGAAATATTAATTCAACAGTGTGAAAACACCAAGTATTAATATTTTCAGCTGGTTCCTTCTCTCAGCAAGCAGCTCCACTGCCTTTCACTATTCATATGTCCACAAATGTACCCAGAGATCCACAGGAACAACCACTCCTTGATTTCTGCACCAAAGTTACTTCTCTGCCTCTTCAGTAAGCAGAGGACAAAGGGAATATGCCTTTGCAAGGCACAGGAATTCTGTGACAGTAAGTCTGATGTCACTTCAGATTACCAAGTTCTACCTAAAGTGCAACACAAGCACCACAGACCAATTTCTATCCTTTTTTAGTATTCCTGGCTACACTGACAACGTATAAGTGAGTACAGATGTTGTCTTAATGTATTTAGGGAGACATAAATCTGAAAAAAAATCATCTTTCTTTTTGACTAGCAATCAAATCCCGTTTTGAGCTAAAATAAACATACTTAAACACTGGAGGATGAGCTAAGAGTGTAAAATTTGGCTGAGTAATGAGTAAATAGGGGCATGAACTACCTATAAATATTTGATGGATGAGCTGAAGTAGGAAAAAAATTCTGTAGGGTGATGTAAGGGGGTACAACTTAAAGGGATGGGTCTTCTTGACCATGAGATAGTAGCTTGTGGAATAAGATTATGATAGATTTGCCTGCAAATCCACATTATTAGATATATATCAATAAATAGATGATACATCTCCATTTAAATACACAATTTGCATATATTCCTGTAAGGAAAGACTGGACATGACACTCAGTGCCATGGTCTGATTAACATGATGGTGTTTGGTCATAGTCTGGACTCAATCTCAGAGGTCTTTTCCAACCTAACAAATTGTGTGATATATAAATATCTAAATATATATCTATAAAACCTGTGGTGTGCAGAGAAGAGGGTTCTCAAGCCAAGCTTATTGAGATTCAAAGTACAACAGACCTTTTTACCATCAGATGAACACGAATATTTCGAGGTAAATTTGCATTTCATAGCCAGGGGCATCATTTGCAGGTGACTGAACAATCAATTAAAACAGCTCGGGTAGGTTTTTCTGTGAGGTGGTTTTTTTTTTCATATAACCAGGTCACTGCTGCTTATTCACATGGTTTGGGGCATTTTAGACATTAATAACACAAAGTTTTCCTCAAGATTTCTGGTGCTGTCTCATGGGTTTACATTTTATTTTGCCCAAGCTGATGGAGGACCAAACATGCACCTTCCAACACCCTGGGACACTGAGCAGCCTTAGCAGAGTTATAGATCTGTGCTGCTGTGACTATTTTTCTATATTATTAATTTAAATTTACAAATTAAATGCAGACCATGAAGCCATCACAAAATGGTGATTCCAAGGCCTGGAGTCTTTGGATTTTGGATAAAGCGAAAAATGAGTCTTTGGACTTTGGATATAGTGAAAAATGAGTCTTTGAGGGTGGTAAAAATTTGGAATGTGATGCCCAGAGAACCTGTGGCTGCCCCATCCCTGGAACATTCAAGGCAAGGTTGGATGAGGTTCTGAGCAACCTTGTTCATGGGAGGTGTCCCTGCCTATGGCAGGGGGTGGAATGAGATGATCTTTAAGATCCCTTCCCACCCAAACTATTGCCATGGTCTGAGTCAGTAAAACCAAAGGATTTGGGAGTTTGATGAGCCTCAGGATCACAGAATCCCAGAATATGCTGAGTTTGAGGGACCCACAAGGATCATGGAGTCCAACCCTGAGCCCTGCACAGGACCATGCCCAGGAGTCACACCCTGTGCCCCAGAGGATCAGCCAAACACTTCTTTGCTTTCAAAATTAATCATTTCTTGGTCTCTATGTTGTTTATAACCAGTTTTCTATGGTTATTTCTGATTTCTCTGTCATGTTCAGCTGCCTTTTTTCATCAACCTCATATTCCAGCCCCAAGCCACTGCTCAGTGTGAGCCTGTTAAAGAGGTCCTGAACTCCACAGCCACAGTTATCACAGCTCTTATTTCCATTAGTGATTAATAATTGTTCTTTCTTGGGATAGATATTTTTAGCTGCTTGAAAAAAGGCTTTTATCCATGACAGGGTTCAACACTTCTGTGATTGAGCTGCCTCCTTTTTTTTATGGTTAGATACTCAATCATGGAAAAGCCATTTTGTCCCTAGACCTGAGTCAATCATCCTAAAAAATACATGGCTAATGTTTGGGTTTACTTCTTTTTTCAGAAGCTGTTCATCAAACACTTGTGAATAATGAATGTACAACTTCTCATCAGACGTGATATGTAAATTCTGGGCTCGACCCATCCGATAATTTATTTATCAAGAACAGTTTGAGCAGAGCATCAAAGACCAGCAAATTAGTTCTCCATCAACAGCCAATTGAACTTTCTGACTCTGTGTAGAAGTGTTTGGAAACCAGGGGCACAAACTGTTCTGGGTGAGAGGAGCTTTAAACAAAGTTTATTAAAGAAAAGACCCCCTTGCTTTCTAAACTCCTCTTGGTTCCAGCCTTAGCCTCAGACTTAGGCAACAGTTTAAGTCCAACTTTGTCCCACAGGGTTAAAGATGGCAAGCTGGGTATATTAATATAAATGAATTATTTATCATGACAAATGATCAGACAAAAGGTCTTAATCAGAATTATTTACCACAGAGCATAAAAGCTAAAACTCCTGGTAGTATAATATAAAATAGGGTAGTACACTATATCAAAGCAATTATGTCAAAGCAGTTATATCAAAGCAATTATATTAAAGCTGACAACAAGAAATAATCATTAATTAGAGGTTGATGTAACTCACCAAACCAAAGCCTGTGAGCAGATCTCTCTCTCTGAACCTCCAGGAGTGTCCCCATCACATGGGAGAAACTCCACACACTCCAAGGAGGGTTAAGTTGGAAGAATCTGATGATATGGAAGTGGCCTGGGCTTTTAGAGTATAAAGGGATTGATTTAGTCAAGTCCCCAGGTCAGCTGAGCAGCTCATCTGCCAAATCTTTGCCTCACTCTCAGGAGATTAATTTGGTTTTAGCAGAATTCAACACCAAAACCTTGCAAAACAGGGCCTTGTTTGAGTCGTTCAACCACATTCCAAGAGCAAAATGTCCTGTTACACACACACACACACTGCCCAGAAAAAGCCAAGACTTCCCTTCCCAACCTCCCTCACATTTCCAGCCAAAAACTCTCCAAACCCAACAACGTTCCACCTCGTGGGTGTAAAACCTTTGCAAATCCTTCCTGCTTGGTTCAGCATTCAAATGGTTTCCTTGGTTTAAAATACAACCTCTCAGGTTTCTCCAAGCACCACCTCCAGTTTTGCTGTGGTGTGGCCAAGGTTCAGTTCTCCTTTTCACTATAAACATTCTCAGTGGCTTGGAATAATTTGGTGTAGAGCTCACCAAGTGTCTGCTTGGATGCCTTGGATTTTTCCTCCCTGCAATTGGTTTAAATCTTAGAGGACATTTTGTAGAGAGGCCAAAAAAATAAAACTGCATCTCTTTCAATATATATATTTTTCCCCCCAATAGTTAAACTTCAGAAGGAAAACAAAAAGCTTTTAGATATAAATTATAATTCAGTGCTCACAAAAGCAATGGGAAAACAATACAGAGTATGGAAGTTTTATCAGCAAAATAATTCAGGTTTTGGATGGAGTGATAATAAAGTGTATTATGAAGGGTAAAACTATTAAATCAGGATATTAATATAACTTTTTTAGGAATTTAAGGGTGTGCAATCTGCTTTCTAAATGAGAGCAACCGATGTCAAACAAGATTTATTTCACAGAAGATTAAAAAGATCAAGAAATTCAGGCTCAAAATACTATAATTTAGATATTTTATGTGCAAGCCTTTACTTAATCCCTTTGAAGCCCACTGAGGTGCCTGTGTATTTATTTACTTCCCATGAAAGAAGGATTTCTTTCTTATTTAAGGGGTGGTCAGAAACAGGGAGGGAGTGAAAGTTTCACAGGTTTGGGTTTTCTATCTGAAGAGCTGGAGTTTGTCCAGCTGATTCCAGGAAATCTGTCAGCCTTCTGACAAATTTTGTGATGCAGATGCTCTGCTTTATTGATCTGAATTTAATAATTAAAGCCTTGTCCTCGCATTTACAAAACAGAAGCATTTAAAGCCCCATGATTTAGTTATGTCATGTGTTGCTCTAGTGAAGCAATCAAGTGAATCACTGGTCAGTCAAATATGCAATGACATGTCTAAAACTATTCCCTTCACAGTTCATGAGGGGAAAAAAAAAAGCTGGAATCGAGAACATTTTTGCAAATCAAACATCTCAGTTAAAAATGTCAGCCTGTATCAACTGAAATATTTTATCCTGGATCTGACAAGTTTAAGTAAGATTTGTGTGTCTGTTGGGTCAGGTTTGAAACCCAAATTAATTCTGGACCAGAAAAAAATCAGATTGCTGTCCTTTACAGAATGTCAGAGTATCACCCTTTTGCAACTCCGCTACCAAAAAAAATAAAGGAGAAAAGGTAAAGAAATGGAAATTGCCAAAGCAGAGGCTTTTGTGCAAAGAGTCCTGAGATGTTTTTTGTACATGACAGAACAAGGGGGAATGGCCTCAAAATGACAGAGGGGAGGGTTAGATGGGATATTACAAAGGAATTGTTCCCTGGGAGGGTGGGGAGGCCCTGGCACAGGTTGCCCAGAGAAGCTGTGGCTGCCCCTGGATCCCTGGAAGTGTCCAAGGCCAGGTTGGAGCAACCTGTGCTAGTGGAAGGTGTCCCTGCCCATGGCAGGGATGGAACTGGATGAGCTTTAAGTTCCCTTCCAACCCAAACCATCTCATGGTTCTATGATTCGAATTTTTAAATGAGAAGGGGAGATATTTAACGTGTTTCACCAACATTGTGTTACTTATAAAAATTCCAATTGCTGCTGGTCCCCTCAGCCCTGGGGGTTGTGGAGACATTCTCAGCTCAAAGGGAGTGTCACCTCTCCACATCCCTGTGTTCAAAGCACAGTGTGGAGCTGCACAAAGGGAGGCCTGACAGTGCTGGGAGCTCTGAGAGGCAACATTTCCCCAGCCTCTCTTTGTGCGGAGGAAGGAAGGAGGAAATCTTCGGAGGTGAAGTTGCTATAATTAATTTCCTGTGTGTGCACTTTGCTCACACAGTCAATTTGTCATTGTAGGGAATAATTTACTCTCCTCTCTCCACAGACTTCTGAGGAGCAAAGTAAAAGACTTCAGGTATTGCAAAGTAAAAGACTTCAGGTCTTGCAAAGTGTGCAATACTGATGATAAGGCAGAAAAATCAGTGCTCCTGCAAACCCTCCCATCGCTTTGAATCCTTTCTTCCAGCTGGGCTTTAAAAGAACTTTCCATCAAAGCCAGGAGAAAACTATATACAATTTTAAACCTTTGGCTGACCTCTTGCTTCCAAAGGGTTGTGGCTTAAACCTCTGGGTCCTTCCAGCTTTCTTTGTTCCTCTTAGAACTTCCCTGCCCGCGTCCTCCGTCCCCCCGCACGGCTCAGCCCGGGCTCTCACTCGGCTCCCTCCTGCTCTGCTGGGAGCCCACACAGATGAGAGGCTCTGTGACCTTCCCTTCAAACACAAAACACAAAAGGGAAAGGATGAAACCAACAGAAGCAAGAGAAAGAGTTGTAGCAGGCACTGAAAACCTGCCACGGCAGAGCGTCGGTGGGAACTGTGAGTCACAGCAAACCCACTGCACAAAGAGCATTTTAACCCTCTCCCTGCAGCACAAGCAGAGGAGATTCTGTCCTTGGCGTGGCTTAGAATAGATTTCTTATCCTCAGGTGGGTTTAAAGCCCAGGCAAAACTGTTCTGGAACAAAGAGAAAATCAACCAGAATCCCAAGTCGCTGCTCTGTTCAGAGGAGCTCCACAAAGTTTGGTTCAATAAATAAGGAGTGAACTGACCTTGAAAGTTGGAGAATCAAGGAAGATTGTTAAAAGTACTGCTAGAGACATCAGTAGGAGTATTTTCATATCTATTCAGCTTTATTGCAAGAGCCAGATGACAAATTTTTTGAGCTGCTCTTTAAAGTACAGACTTTGGAAACAAGACAAAATATACACCAACTACGTATTACACAATATGGAACAATATCCTACAAAATACCAACCACAGTATTAAACCTTAGGCCATTTTTCATATAGAAGCATCTCAGAAGACACAGGAGGAAGAAAAAAAGAGGTGTTATGAATAAAACTCTTAATAATATTTAACCATAATAAGAGAGGAGTAGGGAAAGGCTGAAGAAGACCGAGTGAGTCATTGGGGGATGGAGATGTTGCAGTGCCTCCTAAAAGTGAATCCAGTTTTAAGAGCTCAGGCTTATGGAGGTGTTTAGAAATCACATCTTGCATCTCAAGGCTTGCTAATGTTCAAATATGAGCATAATAACCCAGCTCACAATGATGTTCTCCCTGCTGCTGACTGTCTTTTCGTTTTACAGCCCCAGTTAAGCACCGTTCCTTGGATCTCAACAACTCGCTGTTTTCTCTGCAGAGATTCTTTTCACAGCAATAACCCAAGTTTTTCATTTGCAACAGCAGCCCATGGCTGATTAGGGAATATAACAAAAAAAAATAGGATCTGTGGAGGTGCATTTTAGCTTTCAATTTATTTGTTTGCTTTTAATTTCTCAGAAATTCATCATGAGAGAGGATGGTGGAGGGAGAACGTGTTTTGTCAGTCTTGTAGCGGTTTTGAACAGGGTGACTTTGAGTTCTGCAGTTTTCTCCCCATCCTTTGAACCATCACAGACAGATTTTGATTTCCAGAGTCACTCAGCCTTATTTTTACCTCGTGTGACTCAAATTGGAGATACTACATTGCACAACTTCGGTTGAACGTTGCCAGAAGAGCAAACATTGGCATCATGAGGAGCCCCAAAAAGGGTGAAGGGTCCTTTTACATCAACAGGAATCTTATTTATCAGGACTTAAAACTAAATCTTGTCCTTTTACGGCTTTCATTGAAAACTCAGAGGACCATTCAGAGAGAAAACAAGCTTAAGATCAATCAAGTAAATTTACTTGATTTACCCAAAAGTCAATGAGGTTGTAGAGCATGGAAACATTCACTTGAAGTTTTCCAACCTCCTTGAGTGGTGACCTTCCAAATTACACCATCTGCTCCTGGAATTTTATACATCTCTGGAAATCAGGGAATAGGAGCTCAAGGCATGAATTTCCTAAGGGTTACATTCTTGGGGGAAGCAGAGTTAGGGAAGCGTGACCACTGATTTCCCAGGCTGGGAATCTCTGGAGTGATCAGCAAAGATAGTGAGGGGAGGTTTGTGATGTGGTGGGAATACAGGATGAGCAAACTCACTTGAAATGGAGGCTAAAACAGTGTTTGGCTGGCACTCAAATTTTAAATAGGGCATAAAAAGCTGTTACTTCATTATTTCATGAGGAACTAAAGGAAAGTAATCAAGAATACTTGTGTACAACTTCTTGTAGTAAAAAAAAAAGCAAAACAGAGGGACTGTAATTCAGATTTTGGAATCCAGCAGCTTTATGAACTAAAGCAGCAATAAATCCCAAAATAACAAAATGAAATAGAATTTAGGAAGCTATTTAAGAACAATTTGAATTAAACAGTGTATTAGTGAGCATTTGAATGAATCCATGTATTTTTATATTGCTACTGCTCTTGGTTGGATACAAGCAGCAGGATAAAATAGGAAAGTAAAACTCCTGGAAATCACAATTACTGCTTTTTATAACAGCAATTGATATTTACAGCATTCTTTGCTCAAAGCTGAAATTGTGGCAGCTCTGGAACAACTCTTTGAAACCTGTTTACTACAAGACACATTTCCTTATAAGACACATTCCAGGGTTTATCCCCAGTGCCCAATAAATGTATCCCACATGGATGACCCTGATGTTTTATCAAGACACAAAGGGGTTTGTCCCTGTAGTGGCATATTTTACTATCCTGTAGTACTGCAGGTTCTGTGCAAAGGAAAAATAACATCTATAAGGATCTCTGTTATTATTTATTATTTCCACAGAAGAGCAGAAGGGCGTTAAGGGATTTTAAATGAAAGGTTCCTCACAGAGAACAAAGTCTCAAGGTTCCTGGACTTGCTGAGCTTTAATCCCCACAAACAGGTTGATGAGAGAGCCTCCAATGAAGTGGATATCATTGCAGAAATTTTATGGAAAATACATTGGCTTAATTGATGGAAAAAAATGTTAAACTTACCTT